AATTTGATTTAATAAAGTGATTATGCGGAGGTCATATTTTCTTGATTTATAGTAGGATTAAATTTTATAATATAAAATTTAAGGGGTCTACTTTGTTCATCCCATGGGGGGGTAGTTCTCCACAAAAACCCAAAAATGTACCTCAATTTCGAAGATGTGTCTTCTATTAGATGCAGGTATGAGTGGTTAAAGTTTTACGTTGCCTATGAATGAGTGAAATGTTAAATAAGAGAGAATATTCATTTATCTAACACCTTAAGGTTTTGGATTGATATGTGGTGTTTCCCTCTCTTTTGGTCCTAGAGCATTGTCCTATTGGTGCTCCCGACTCTCTCAGACTCCCCAATAGTGGTATCAGAGCCTGATTCGGCTTGGAGGGGGAGCGGGATCTGGATCTGGTGTTGGATCCTGTTATAGGATATGGGGGATTCACACTTGTGGAAGAGAATTTTGGGTGCAAGTATGAGTCGTTAAAGTACCACATTGCTTATGAATGTGTGAAATATTAGATTTATAAGATAGAAGATTCATTTACTTAACACCTTAAGGTTTTGGATTGAGATGTGGCATCTCCCTCTCTTGTGGTCCTGGAGCATTAGTCTCATTGGTGCTCACGACTCTCTCAGACTCCCCAACATCTTCAAACACATACATAATACACACACTTCATCACTTTGTAAGTGAGTCACCTCCATTTTATCCAAAATTTAGTCATGAGATGTATTTCTCTAACATTCTAACAGGAAAACAACACGAAGTTTATCTGCAACATGCAATCAAGAAAATTGCTTGGGACAATGGTTTTTCTTTTATTTGTAGTTTGGAAGGTGTTGTATTTCTATTCATTATTCATTGTAATACGCACAATAAAAAAAATAATACAACAATTTATGTAGGTTAATAGAAGTATTCATTAGACTTATAGGTGTATGAAGTAGTAGGTGTGTAGAGAAATAATACTATCCATCACGGAAATAGGTGCAGAAAAATAGCAGGATGCTTATGGGTATGGGTGAACATTATTGCACTTGTGCTATTTGTGTATGATTAAGAGAGAAACTTAAACAAATAATGAAGTGATTTTCTTGATTGTGTGTTGCATATCGACATTGTGTTGTGTGTTGGTAACGTACTGCTATGAGTGATATTTTATTTTGGGTTTGCGTATTATAAGGTTTTGGAAATGCATTTTTGGATTATTCTAGAGATGCATATCCAGACTAAATCTGAGGAAAATGGGGTGACTCACTCACAAAGTAATGCGTTATGTGTAATATGGATGCGTTTGGAGATGCATCTCTGAAATATAGAAAGGACAAATTTGGGTTTTCAGTAAGTAAACCCTCACCACGTGGAGTGGATAAAGTAATCCCTAAATTTAAAATCACTTTCTAAATTCTAACATATGAACAATGTATTCATTTTTAAGAAGTAAAAAAAATGGGATTGCTTTTCCCACTCAAAAGATTACTCTCACACCCTAGTGAAAAACCAAAACTACCCATAGAATCCATAAATGCATATTCGAACGCACCTCATTCACACAACCCATTCGTTATTGAGCCAGACCCCAATTTTATGTCAAAAGTTTATACATAAATGCATCTCTGTATATCTTGCGGGGATGCACTTCCGGACGCATTTTTAATCAAAAACATGCCACACCCTTTTTCCTTCCTTAATTCTTGTTTACTCTCACAAACTCTCAAACTCTATAAACTCATGTCCAAGTTTCTACCATCATCCAATCAATCAAACATATCACAGTAAGACTTTAGTAAGTTTTTTATTTATTTATACATTTTTTATTCCTCTATAGATTTGTAGAAATCAAGTATTAGGTTGTGTAATAGGTAGTTTCGATATGTTATTTAACTTAGATATGTATTTGATAGGTAATTTAAATAATTAATACATATTTAGGATGTTGAATCTAAATGCATTTCTGCCATTTTCGTTCTACTCTGAGTTGTAGAATAATACAGAAATGCACTTCCGAATTTGTTCAACATTTTGATTTTCCATAATCCAAAAATTCATTTATGTATTTAGTTTGTGCATTGTTTAGCTTTATTTTAGTTGTTTTTCATCTGGATAATGCTTGTGTGGTTTAATTATAGGCATTATGACTGATAACTAAGAACGACTAAGACACATCATAATGTCTTAACATGCATCGTTTTAAAGGGAAAAAGCCCGACCCTGATAGATACTGGTCAGTTCTAGCTTGTTTGATGTGGAAGCGTCAATTTCCAGAGCTAGTGCATCTCCGCCTTCATTTTCCTGGAGGAGACATGTGTCACCTCCTGATGCCCAAGAAGCCCCACTGATACATGTTTTGGCACCCCAGGAACCCTAGGCACCCGGGGGATTTGGAGGAGGCTCGTCCAACTTATTGTTGTTGCCTTTATATTTAGACCATGTTGCCATACATGTGTGGAACAAGGAGGTAAAATTCGATTTTGTTCATTCTTTGAAACACATTTGTTATGATATTCAACGTTTTTAACGATGATTTATTGTTCTGCAAGACTGGAATGGTTTAAAATGTATCAACCATGGTCGGAAGATTATGAAGCTTCCTCAGCCTTGGGGTCAATGGTTTCAGGATGTGATGTAGATATCTATGTTGCAAGACTTATGTAGGATTGGGTATTTTATGAGTAACCATGGTATGTTGTTCGTGTTTGTTGAAAGATGGAATTTTGAGACTCCATCTTTTCATCTTCCACATGGTGATATGTCTATCACGCTAGACAATGTCTCATGCCTATTGCATCTTCCGATCAGGGGAAGATTATTAGACTATAATAGGATTATCAGATATAAGGCAACGTAGATGATAGTGACATTATTGTGAGTTGACCTAGGGGATGCCTTGAAGGAGGTAGAAGACACTTGAGGGTTTCATGTTAAGTTTGGATTCCTGGGGAGGATGTATGCACAATAACTGACAACGGTAGAGCAGACTGCTGGTGATGATGAACATGTTATGCGGCATAAAACATACATGTTATACTTGGTTGACACGTCCATTTTTGTGGACAAGAGTGTGTATTATGTGGATGTGGTCTACCTCAAATACTTTGCTGTCTAGGAGCAGATTCATGAGTACAACTGGGGGCGCTTGTTTGGTCTACTTGTACTCCAAGTTAGCTAAAGGCTGTATGTGTAAGACCAAACATATGTTAGTTATTTGCACGTTATTGACGGTAATGTATTTGTATGCCATACTACTTTTGTACAATTTTCATAACACTTGTGTTACTCTATTACTAATAATTCATATGTATCATTTTCAAGCATAGATCATCTAGCACACTCCACGCATAGTTGAATGGTCATATGTTGATGCCTACATTGAGGATATGCCTTGTGCTTGTGCATTAAGCCCTCTAAGAGGAAATCAGTCGAAAAAGCCCTTTAGAGTGTATCTTGATTGCATGGTAACAGATGATATACACTTTCAGACGTACGTAGATCACCGCCAGACACATCCTTTGAACGACATGGCCTTTTATTCTGGATGGTTGGCGTGTGGGTAACGTCTGATGTATCCACATCTTCATAAGCGTGTCATGTGCATGTTTAGATATATGCATTTTATTTTTAGAGGCCCCTCTGATTTTGCTCCTCCTATGGCACATAGATATGTATATGTCATGTATGATGATTACCTTAATCATCTGGTATCAGATGACACACGAGGTACCCTAGCTTCTAGCGAGTAAAGTTATACATACTACTACTTCGCTTGGTATTTCAGGGTGTTACGTCCTTATATAACATCGGATGCTTAGGAAGACCCACCTAGATTAGCTCATTAGGAGATACTATAAGACGAGTAAACTATGGCTAATCATGTTGTTGATGTGTAGCCTAGATGTCGTCATATCATGGATCTTGCACAGACGACTATAGACAGAGGAGTCTTTCCAAAGGGATCTAAGGGGAGAGACGTTGTGGATGTCATTCTTACTGAGGCTCACATAGCACGACAATACAAGAGCAATGTAAAAACATGGGGTCTAGGGGGCTAACATACGTAGTAGTGTAGCATTTGTATTAGATAGTATTTATATTAGTATTTGTAGTAGTCTAGTATTTTTTATTGTGACTGTATTATAAGTTGATTTATTCGTATATGACATTTTTCATCTGGTGTATTTAGCCTATGGTTTAATTTATAAAAAATATTATAATAGTATAGTTTTAATAAACAATCTATTACATCAGTGTATTACATAAAAATAAAATTTCAATTTACTGTCAGAGGAAATACAAAAGTGTCTCTGTAACCTGATACAAAAATGTATCTTCGAATCAATTTCAGACAAAATAAATGTATATCAGTTAAGAATGCATGAGATGCACATAGAATTAATTCAGAAATATGCTTCCGAATCAATTTAAGTCAAAATGAGTGTCTTAATTAATAATGAAATGTGATACACATAGGATTAATATACAAGTGCATCTCCGTATCAATTTAAGACAAAAAAAAGTCTAGTTCATTTACACATACATTTGATATAAAATAGATACGTTTGAAAATGCATTTTTATTTATAAAAAAAAATTTCAAACTTCCTTATAGTGCGATTCTCCACCGCTAAGAGTGAGAGAATCAAATCCTAACAAAAAAGAGGTGGAGGAATTTCATATAGGTCTATATCTAATTAAGCCCAACTGGGCAAAGACAAAGCATAAAGATTGCATCCGCAAAGTTTATCTAAGGGACCCACATACAAAGTACATAAAATTATGATATGTAACAAACAATTGTCTGCCATAGAACATAGCTATTTCCATCCTTCTTATCCACGAAATCTCTTCAGTATCCATTTACTCTATCCACATTGTTATTCTGTCTTTCATTTATTTTCTAAATCCCTTAACAAGCTCCCAAAAAAAAAAACAAGAAGGAACGGCTGAATCATAGAAATTGCAGCAGAATTAGATACATAAATCAATTCCTAAGCAGCCCTAATAGAAACAGAAATGCTACAAAACCCAAGAATACTGCGAACTTCCCCTCAACCATTCAACCTTCCAACTCAGACATCAACACCATCACCTTCATCATTCAACATATTAGGCACAACTCCACATTTTCCAATCCTCAAACAGCAATGTAGATTATCGCGTAGAGAGCTGGCAATCCACAGCAACTCTTGCTTGCTGCTTCTTTTGGCTGATGGATCCAGGGCAAGAGCAGAAGATGTTACCAACAGTGACCAACTGGGGGATAGTTTGACTAACACTCCCAGCTGCACTGAAAGAAAACCTACAAAACAAGTTTTCTTCGACATATCTGTTGATCGCGAACCGGTTGGTCGCGTTACTATAGAGCTCTATGGAGATGATGTCCCTGTAGGAGTTGAGAGGTTTAGCAAGATTGTCAGTGGAGCTGCTGGTATAAGCTACAGAAGGAAAGAGTTTGTCAAAATCCTGCCTAATTATGTCCAACATGGTGGTCTTAGATCATATGGGGTGGATGCAGAACTAGCTAACAAGACAGGGAGCAATTTGGCTACTGAAAATCTTGTTGAGGAATGGGAGAGAATGTATGAGAAATGCCCTGGGACTAAAAATGTTGCTGGAAGTGTAGGAATCATTGTGAGAGATCCATCAAAACCACCTCCTAAGTTTAAACTGGTTGCAAGACTAGGAAAGCTTCAGATTGATCAGGAAGAAGTTGGAATAGATCCTAATGGGACAGAATTCGTCATTGCAACAAAGGATTCGCCTGAATTAGATGCTTCATCTCTAGTAATTGGAAGGGTGGTAGGAGGCATGGATGTTGTGCAGAGGATTAGTGAGGTAAAAACTGTACAAGAGAATACGAGCTCTCCATACTTTAGGTGAGTATAACAGATAAGTATTTTCTGCCACTTTACAGTAGCAGAGATTGAGTACTAACTTTTGTGTCTGCTGCTATCTGCAGTTGTATCCTGACTATCTATTAATCATTTATATTCATAATGTTTTGCAGGGTGGCAAAGCTTATAGGAGACAAGAGGGCTGTTGTAGCAGAAAGGGGATTCAACCGTCCTTACTCCAAAGTTGTCGTTACAAACTGTGGTGTAGTACAGTAGAACAAAATTGTATACACTCTTTTCTCTAGTTTAATTCCAGTGTAAGAGAACACATCAAAACACATTCTATGACAATCTCTATCATTATCCAACTCTACGTATTCTCTACCACTTCAATTGAAAATTGAGAAAAACACATTATAGCTCAGTTCCAAAAGGCTAACTAATTCATCATGAATAACATCAAGGTGCAACCAATTACTTTCTTTTAGTTGGGAGGAGGATTGGTCCAAAATCATAAGAAAAACCTATTGAACAATAAATACAAAAAATACAGCTTACATGGTTTTCAAATAGAATAACACGCCGAGAAAAATGGCAGTATACAATGGTTTAGGGTTCTTGAAGTAAGACCTATCTTACATCTGGGTCTAAGCTATCCATGTTCTACATTTTGGTTCGAAATGTGAGTAAGCTTCATTCTTCTCGTAGGTGGAGACTTGAAAAGCTTTCTGATTGAACCAATAGGGTCATCTACCTGCATATATACATGGTATATAGTAAGACGGTAAACTCCTAAAATAACAAATCCACAAGTAATTGGGCAAAAGCAGATGTTAACAGAACATGTCACAATAAATTTGAGACAACCTGAAATATTAACATCATCAGATTATCATTCTTTCTGTGGGCTTAGGATCGTGCTAGTATATAATTTATTTTCACTCTGCATGAAACACACAATGTGTATGGTTTGCACAACAGGTTGGGGAAAATGAAACCCGATAAACCCAAACCAGCACAAAATGCGTGCAATTCAAACATTTATTATGAGTTTAATGGAAATCATAATTGTACAAAAGACTATTTAAACAATTTAAACCCATAGATATAGTTTTTATGTTTTTCTTTGAATCTCAATTTGTTAAAGAATAGACTCCACGGATTGTTACTAATACTATCCACAAGTTAACTGTATTGTAGAATAGCCCATCCAATGATAAAAGTAATAAGACATGCAATATATACCTTAATGATGGGCATAGATGATGGAGATGTATTTGGAGAATGTGGCGAATGTTCTTTTGGACGATACAAAGCAGATAACGTTTGTTTCCACCCGGGCTCTCCATCGTCTTCCGATGCAATCCACGGGCAGAAGTGTCTGTGCTGTCTGATTGGATCAAATTCCATTGCTTTCTCAGACAGTGTTGGATTTTTAAACTTACCTGGAAAGCAAAGAAAGGAGGATTCTTAAATTTACCACTCATCATATAAATCCTCGCAATGACAATTTGACAAGTGAACTGCATATTGTCATTCATGCCAAACATGTAACAAGCAACTGCCAATCAGAATGCACGCACATTCTAGCTTCACATTCAAATACTCAACAGCAATGGTTTACCAAGGAACTATGAAACATAGTGCTTACCTAAACTATTATGTACATCTTCACTGTTAGTTGGGTTCTCTACTCTTTCTTTCAACCCCGGGGTTTCAACATTATTGGCTTCTTTGGTCTTATGTGAAACAGAAAGTGCTTCACCTTCTGCCAAGTTTTTCTGCACAGCAATATTATTGTTAAAATGGACTTCCAAACAATAAGTCCTGGCAAGACTACCTGTGATCAAGAAAGAAAGTCTGTCTTGTAACATACTAATGTAAAAGCACGTGTCATGCACAAGAATAATATTTTCTCTCTAAATTTTTTGATGTATTAAAAAAACGAAGAGAAGGTTACATACTAGTTAGTTCCACATTTTGTTCAGCATTGTTGCAATAACTACTTGGTGATAATGTTTTTCTACTAATATCATAATCTAGTGCCCATTTGGCAAACAAAAATTACTAACCTGAGAGCCACTGGGATTTCCTACAGATGAAATCTTCAATCCATCAGTTTTTGCTTGTATGGGCATTTTGTCCTTAAAACTAGAAGATTGTTCTGCAGAATGAGTGCCCTCTAAAGCATTATCTACAACCGAGTCGTGAATGCTTGCTCGAGAGTCAGTTTCACAATTTGAAATTTCTCTTATTTCAGACGATATAGGAACAAGTTGTCCAATAGAGGCATTAACTGTGTTATCAGTTTTCTCCTGAATCCTGGTCTCATGTGAAGCTGACTGACTACTGCCCCGATCAACAAAAAAATGATCTCTAATATCATAATCATAAGAAAGACGAGCTCTTAAATTCTGACCAATAACAGGCAAAGATATTATTGCTTTGAAGTTCTGCTTTGTTGGGGGAGGACCCCCTGCAATTGTCATATTTAGACTCGAAGGTGTGTCCTTAGATGAAGTTGCAACGTCAGACATGGCATTATTTACCCCCTCCTGTCTACTTTCAAGATCATTTTCACCATTCACTTCTGTATATCCTACTAATCTGATTGATTGCACAGGCCGGAGAACTGTACAGAATGCCCACAAACCAACAGTGGCTCCACATAAGGAACAATCTAAAACTGCGGAATTGGGATCCATTTGTTCCCCAATAGAATACTTGGAATTTTCATCCATTTTCGAACTTTCATTATTGTCAGCAGAAGAGACAATGAGATTGTCATTCTTTGCATCAGTAACTACTTGAGGACAGTATAGAATAGTTGAATTCTTATGCGACTGCCCTGATACATTTTTGCAATCAACAGCATAAGGTAAATAACGGAGTTCCCAACCGCATAAACTTATTAGCCTTTGAGCCTGCATAATTAAACACACGCTGACTATCATTCAAAATGGGAGGTAATAAGAAATGCTAAGATATATTGAGGGTTTTAAGAGAATAAATGAAATAATGGAAATTTGTTAATGCAAAAAAAACAAAAAAAAACACACACACAAATAAATGCTAACCAGTGGCCAAAGTGGTTAAAAAATCAAAATCAAGATTTTATTGAAAATCACTGATACATTGAATATTGGGATTTCCAATATAAAACTCTGTAAACCGTTATTCGACCAATTCGAACATCAAAAGTTTCTACTTCTTTATGATCGCGTAGAGAACCTGGGATTCATTTTTTTAATAAAAAAAATAGCAGATCGAGCGAGGTCTGTGCTGGAAAGCAACTACCTGAGCCAAAAGCATGTCTGTAACATATCTTAAGTATGTCAATGCACCACTAAAAAAAAAGACTGTCAATGAAATTCTAAATGGTAAGAAAACATCATTTTCGATTCGTGGGGAACAAAAACACTAAACAAGACCAATATACAGATCCCAGATCAAATACCAGCAGTTGAAAAAATTTTCACCATTGGACAACCTGTTATTACCTGGTAATATAATTTCAGTTCCTCTTGACTACCAACATCTTCTATTCCAGAATTTCCAGCAGATTCATTTCCACACTCCTGCATCAATGATTGTCCAAGGAAGTCATCCAAAAATGGGCTTTGCATGTGGTCTATTACAGAAGATGAAATACGCGGAAGAGCAGACAATTGCAAGAGAGCAGAACAACGTTCTTTGAAATTATCAACTAATGCTGGAGGAGATATGGGAGGAAATCGTGCTAGGGTTTCACTACAGGCATTGTCAATCCACGGACAAAGTAACTTATGTCCATTATCCAACTTTAAACTGAAGACTAAAGCTGCTTTCTCCACTGCGAAGAAATCATTCTAGTAAGAAAATTTATACAATTGAGCATTTTGTGAACTTTATAAATAAAAAACAATGGCATACCCTGCTGGTGATTCCAAGACGCTGGTGTAGAGAACAGAAGACGTGCTCCACATTCTTCACAAGATATGGTGTCAACGTCAACATTGATCCAACCTCTTCTAGCACAATTGACAGCACTTACTTTCTATAAATATCAGACATAAAAAATGAGTCTTAATATTTGAGGAAAACAGGATGTAAGAGGGTGACATAATGAGTTTGAAGTTAACATCCTGATTTTAATCGTAAAATGTCACAACTTTGCGATTATACTTGCCCTCGGCAATTAAGAGTGTACTCATAATCCTATTTTGGTGAAATAAGGTGGAATCGCTCCTCTTAATGGTTGAATCGTATAATCTACGATTTTTGAAAATTTTATGCAATTATACTTATAAATGAATTTAAATGTATATACACATTTGAAGTGTGATTTAAGGTTTTTATGAACCTACTTGTGATCTATGCTTAGGAACTCAAATTTAACAAATACTTAAGTGATTTAAGGTTTTCTTTGTTTTGCTAATGCTATTTATATGCATCAGTTTTAGAATATAAACCCACGACTTACGATTTTACTCCCCCTTCTCGATTTTTCCTAAAATGTTGATTTTAACTACCTTACTTGTATGCCAAATGTTGATAGCTATACAGCTCATTGTGTCACAACAAAGAGAAGTAAAGAAGCGAGAGTATATCTTTAATGAAGGAGATGATATGCTATGAATAAAGAGATTTCAAAACTGCTACTATTATTCAACAAATATAATAAAAAAACTATAAATTATTACTAAAAAAAAACCCTCTCCAATAAAATCCCTCCTCTCTTTGCAAGCCACACAAAATGAGGGTTATCCCCCCACCCCTCCCCTCCTCTCACCAAACAAAATATCTAATCCAGCGTAGATTTGAATTAGCTTATTTGAGATTATCTACTCACATAAACATTCGTGAGACTCTTCCGAAGAACTTATGAAAACAGTTTATGACATATCCATGATTTGTTTTTCATCTTATATCCATAGCTGATTCACAAGCACTCATATATGATAAAGAGCTTATGATTAACTTGTTTATCCAAACACTGCCTAAATTCACAAAGCAATACAACATTCAGAGTCAGAAAAGAACCTTGGGTTTAGCAAACCATGAAATAGACTTAAATGTAGCCAATCTCTTCATGAAGTCAGCGCGATCCCACGGTCGACATAGATGACCTTGGGATTCTGCTGCAGTAGCTGAAGATAACTGATCATCCCCTCTCCTATCCATTACTCCTCCTGATCCTGATACAATTGACTGAAAACCACGTTTCTTACCCCTAGAACTTGATAATTGCACCCCCGAAGAACTGCAAAGACAAACACATTACTCAAATATAAATCACACACAAACACAAAGACATGTATGCGATGAATGTGAGAATTGTTGGAACCTGGAGTTGGAGAATGAAGGATTGTTGGAGGAAGATTTGGAAGAATGGAAGAGCTTATCCATGATGGAACGAAACCTCTTTTCTGAATCTTGGTTCATTCTGTTTCTTCAATTGAGTTTCAGTTTCGCATCAAAGCAAATGCGTTAATGTGTTGTTGTGTTCATTTCTCGATTCTTTCTCCGAAAAGAGAATACTGAGTTGAATTGAAGTAGCGGCTGAGTGGCTACGGTGATTTCGTTTCTACTTTACAGGCCCGCTTTCTACTGGGTTGGGCTCATCTAGGGCAACACTATTTACACCCACTATTATTAGTCAATGTAAAACTGAAAAGGAAAATTCCGACCCAAAAAAAAAAAAAGAAAAAAAAGGAATTGTTTATCTCATTTTATGAGATATAAAAATATCCTATGAAAAATCTAAAATATAGTGGATTTGTGCTAATTTGAAGATACATCTCCGAAGTATTTCAAAACACACCTTATGTATTCCTATGTGAAAGATTCATTTTAAATATTTATTGATCCGAAATGCATCTCTGTTTAGTAATTAAGGAGATGCATTTCCGTAACCTATCAGAACAGTGCAAGTTAAGTTAGTTTTATGGCTACTCAGATGAAAATGACGATTTATAAATGTTAAGGCTCATGTTATGTGATGAGCATTAAACCATAAAATCGATATGCAAAAAATGACATATATAAATCCACATGGTATAAATGAGTCATCAGCTGATACAAAGTAAAGTTGAAATACACAATAAAATTGAAATAAATCAAAATAAAATGCAATTGATATTAAATCCAAAGTATAAATATCATCAACTATTGTGTATGTCGAACTAGAACTCCTAAGGCTCCTTGGCCTACTTTGCCTCCGTCCTTTGACGTTGTCTCTGGTACATTAGTGTCTCTCGTGCCTCTGTCATAATGGTATCTAGAATCTTCCTCACCTCAGAAGCATAAGAAAAGATACATTTGTCAATGTTTGTCTGCGCAATCTCCACAATGCGACAACATCTAACACTATTATAAAATACACTTTCGATAACACTAATATTACTACAATTATGTTGTCTACCATTGTAATATTGTAAACTAAATGTGTCTGGTGCGTGTGTGTGTATGTGTCTATATATATATATATATATATATATATATATATATATATATATATATATATAAGTCATTTAATCACGGTTGAGGTAAACAACCGTGGTAACAAAGTAAGTATTACAAGCTTCAAATCCTAGGCACTACATTTTTTTCATTTTTTCTATTACAAAAAGTGTGTGTCACTTAAGTTCATAAATAAATAAAAAATTAAAAACTATTTAACCACGATTTTACTATATAACCCTTGTAATAAGATGTACATTTCACTGTGGTTGAAATTAACAATTGTAGTCAAAGGTTTTCCTGATAATTAAAACAAAAAAGATTCATTATTTCCTTCATAATATGCCCTAAGCGAACTAGCGAACCAGCTAACCAGAGACGACAGCGGTAGCGATTGTGAAATCTTAATCTTCACAATCTTCCTTCATTTGAATCTTCATTCTTGATAATCTTCACTATCTTCATTTTTTGTGTCTTCCTCTTCGAAGTACGATATCTTTCGTGCAAACTTCACTCTCTTCCTCATCTTCCTAATTCTCGATAATCTTCATTATCTTCAATCTTGTTTGATTTTAGGGTCTGTTTTGTACAAAGTTCATATGCTTTATGTTTTGTTGTTGGATTTAGCAATGAACAAAAATATTATAACTTTGCTACAATGGATATAGATATGCTTAAGATTTAGAGTTGTATTATTGTTATGAATATGCTTCAGTTTTTTGATATGCTTTAGGTTTAGATTTTGTTGTGTCGTTCACAATATTGTTTTGATATAATTTGTCGTTCACAATATTGTTTTGATATGAACTTCATAATTTATTATAGATCATAGTTTGATGAAAGCTGATAGATTAGATTTGGTATATAAGAAAGGAGTTCTTGAATGTCTTGAATACGCTTATCAAAATCTTCATGATAATAATGGTATCTTTTATTGTTCTTGTGTTAATTGCGGGAATATAAATAAAGGTACAAATGATGGGATATTCCATCACCTAAGTTGTGATGGTATATGTCAAAATTATACAATATGGACGTGGCATGATGAGGTGAAAAAAAAGCAAAACATTGCATCACAAAGTCACGAAGTTGATGAAGATGAATATATGGATGACCGACTAGAAGATATATTTTGTGATATTGGAGAATCTTCTTTTAAGAAAGCCCATATTTATGATACTTTATGCAGTGATAAGGACACCCCTTTATATAAGGGGTTCACAAGTTTTACACGATTGTCTGCGGTGTTAAAATTGTTTAATCTGAAAGCAAAAAATAGGTGGTCGGGTAAAGTTTCATGGAATTTCTTTATTTGCTAAAACAAATGCTACTAGAAGATAAAGATTTGTCTGATCGTTGTTATGACGCCAAGAAGATATTGTGTCCAATGGATTAGGAGTATATCAAAATACATGCATGCCCTAATGACTGCATATTATACAGGAAAGAGTATGAAAATTGGATCAATGTCCAGAATGTGGGGTGTCGTGTTACAAGTTGAGGGACAACAATGGTGATGACAATGACAATGACAATGTTAGTAGGAAGAGGCCTCCTGCTAAAGTGTTATGGTACTTGCCAATAATTTCAAGTTTCAAGAGACTTTTTTCTAATGCGAATGACGCAAAGAATATTAGATGTTTCATGCAGATGAAAGAAAATGTGATGGAAACATACGCCATATAGCTGATTATTTGCAATGGAAGAAAATTAACTCATTATTTCCATATTTTAGAACTGAGTCAAGAAACCTTAGACTTGGGTTTGCCACCGATGGAATGAACCCCTTTGGAAATCTAAGTACTAATCATTCTTTGTGGCACATTCTTCTCACGATTTACACCATATCTCCTTGGTTGTGCATTAAGCGTAAGTATATGTTGTTAAGTATGATGATTTATGGACCACGACAACCTGGAAACAACATAGATGTTTATCTAAGTTCATTAATTGAAGATTTAAGACTTCTGTGGAAGGAAGGCATTGAAGTTGATGATGTATATTCTGGTGAAAAGTTTAAGATGCGTGCAATATTATTTTGTACAATCAACGACTTTCCTGTATATGGTAATTTGCTTGGATATAGTGCTAAAGGACACAAAGCGTGTCCTATTTGTGAATCTGATACCTCTTATCACCAACTTGAGTTTGGAAAAAAGACAGTTTACCTCGCGCATCAGAAATTTCTAAAACCCGTTCATTCTTATCATAGATTGTGGAAGGCTTTTAATGAAGAGTAAGAGTTTGATATCGCTCCTAAACCTTTAACCGGGGATGAAGTTTATTGATGGGCTAAAGACGTGTCTACTTATGCGTCTAGCGGTATCTTACTGCAAGTGCACAACCTATCGAAGTAATATTTAAGATTATCGATCCACAGGGATTCTATGGTTACTTAGTGCTAGATGAACTTCTAGTTTAGCTAAGGCGAATGATTGTCACGATTTTTGTTGGTTTTTAAGACTGTTAAAGGCGGAATTAAATTTAAGTTTAAATAAAGTAATATTAAGGCGGTCGGTATGTAATTATACTAACTTAGGTGGGTCAATCTAACCTAGGCTTATAAAGGTGTTCACTTAATCTATTCGGTAGAGGTTACCAGTTTAAATACCCTCAACTCACACTCTCGTGGTCTTATATCAGATCTTATCCCTAAAGCCCTATGCCTGCTCTCGCTAGCCCATAAGTGTTTTGAGGTAATTTTTGGAAACTAAGTAATTCTAATTTATCTTAAAGCGCTCTCGCTGTGTTTAATTTAAATGCCTAACTTTAGCTATCTGGTTAAAATCTCACACTCTCGTGGTCTTGACCTAACCTAATACTCTTTTCTTACTCTCGTAACGAAAAGATCTATTTCAATTAAAAAGTATCAGCCAGAATGTTAAGTGATTAATTATTTTCAACCTATGGTTATATTTACCGGTTAAGTTTGTTATAACTACATACCGCCCTAAGGTGTTTAGCTACTCATCGATGTTGAACCAGACAGAGACAGAGAATTTAATAATAACGTACTCATGGCAGAAAAATAAATAAACATTATAATTAAATTAAATTGCAATATAATAAAAAACCTGGTTAACAAATATTCGAGCAGACTCCTTCTTCCACAGACCGGAAAGCTTGGAGTGGGCGGAAATTAAAAATAAACGAATGCTGAAGGTTTAGAAACAACTAAATGTATAACAATTTCCTGATGTTGGAAATTGTTATAGGGTTGGTTTGGATACAAATAAAAACGAAACAGAAAACTAAAAGTAATGCAGGAATGGAAATGCTGGTTCGTAAGGCAGTTTGGCAGAGCTTCCGCAGGAATTTTTGAATAAAAAAGTTTGTCCCCTGTGTTCACAGAACTTGTACTATTTATAGAGTCCCTAATGGGCTGGATTTTTGGTCCTTTGTTGCATGGGCCTTGCTGAAGTTGTTGAGGGAATGCTGGAACGTGGCATCAAAATGGGAGAAGTGGTCTTCACGTAATGCCAAGAGGAGAAGTAAGAGGAGAAGTGGTCTTCACGTAATGCCTTGACGTAGTCTGAGTCAAAACCAAGTTTTACCCTTGTTACGGTCGTGACAGGGTCTTCACGTTCGTAACTTGAGGTTTTTAAGTGTCACGGTCGTGACCACTCTCTTATGGTCGTGATGGCCCAAATTGGGGTGTCACGGTCGTGACACCCTTGTAACGATCGTGGCTGCAACAAATTATGCAGTCTTTTTGCAGGCTTCTACATTTCTTCATCTCCTTATGGTTCCTTTGTTCCTTTTGCTCTTAATTCATGATTTAGCTCCATATAATGATGTACCTGCAAAATGGTAAGAAAAACTCGGGAAATCGAGTGTTAAAACGGTAAATATGCGATAAAATGTTAATGAAATCTAGCGATATAATCGATGCGTTTTCTCGTTATCAAACTTCCCCAAACTTAAACCTTTGCTTGTCCTCAAGCAAATAGTCGGTTGAAAATCGGCGGACAAGATTTTATTCA